TCTCTCCTTTTTTTTATTACCCTTTTCCCCTCTGTGTTACTCTCCCCATTTTACTCGCCTTCTTGAACACTCGCTGTTTCTAAAAGGCCCGAGCCTCTCGAGAGAAGCGAAAGTATGCAGGTCTACCGGTGGACGACCAACAGAGTTTTAGCCCTTAATCGGGGCAAGAAAAAAAAAATAAGAAATGGAAACTACGCGACAGGCGCGACACAGAGTCTCCACTTTGTGGTATGTTCTTTTCTTTCGTTGTTTCTGTTTTGGGCTTCAGATGACGTTGCTTATTTCTTCCTCCGTCCGGTTAGAGAGAACAAACATCAACTAAAAAAAAAAAAATGGTGGCACGGGCTTCGTGCGCCTCTTTTGGACGGTGAGTGTGACGCCTCAACACCGCCGTCCTGCGCTTCGTTTCGCCCAACGCTTACGAACCCTGGCAACCAATCCCGTGCCGTGAGAATGTCACGTGGCCTTTGGGAGGAGTGCGGCAAGACGCTCGGCGCCTAGTCGCGCCATATTTTCCCGACGCTGGATTCGCTGGCATGACTCGATAGCGTCCGCTGTGGTTCCGTCCTAAGCTTCGCCAGCTTGTTCGCTTCGGAAGAACTTTGGGCCGTATAGAGTATGCAAACATGTCCGAGAAGCGTGAGAAGGGAAAAAATAAAAGGAAACGAAAGTCTTTACGACACGAGTTTCGCTTCAGCGTCGCGACACCCGTTACTGGCGAGTATAAGAGCCGCTTCTAGAGACCGCGCTGACATTTTTGAACAGCGCTCCTTGCACTGCGCTAGGAGTTTGGCTCTGCCTCACGCACGCACGCGTCTGTGTTTGCCCCCGCTGCGTCTCGGGCCGATTGCGTGTGCGTTTGCTGCCTAGAAACGTTTACAACTTCCTAACTCAATCGACAGACTTTATCGAATACTTTGTTGTTGTTGTTGTTGTTGTTGTTTTGCGCTCCCCGTTTATGAGCCTTGCTCTAGTGACCGGCAGAGTGAGAAGATGAAGGCCCAGCACGGGCTTGCTCCGTTCTTTGGCTGCCTGCAGGTGCTCCACGAGACGCCTTGTCCAAGGTCGTTCTCACCCTGGCAGTTCTTGTTCTTCGTTTGAACTTTTGGCGCTGCGGAGGAATCTTGTCTTGTTGCGACGCCTAGTTATTTGTATTAGAAGATGTCTCGAGCTTGTGTTTTGCTCCAAGGCGTGGATTAAACCTGAATTCGTCCGGGATTAACGGTGGCACATTTCTGCCTCGAGCGAGCGGCTTCAACTATGCAATTAGTTTCTCGGAATTAACCAAGGAGCGATGGCCTGTTCCTGAAGCTCTGACGACACTCAGTGGTCCTACAATATTTAGATGAAGTAGCGAGACGTGGACTAATTCGAAACGCAATTTATTCTGCGTGTAATTCGTCACTCAGCAAAAAAAAAAAAAAAAAAAAAAAAAAAAAACCTATTTAAAGCTTACTTTATCTTTTTTTTTATGCTATTAACAGCTGTTTTTTCCTGGCTTTTCTTAGAGACGTCGTTCGTGTACGTCGTAAAATTGCGTAGATGAAAAGAACGAAGAACACGCGAACGATTGCTTTTATATACTTCTACTTCTCTAGAAAGACCCGGCCCCATTTAGTTCGAGAAGGTGAGGAAATCTCAGCCTCGTTTTGCGCCCTTTCTTACTTAAGAGTCGTTTATCATTTTTAAAACACATTCTAGACACTTCCGTCATTCAAACTTGATTTATCACTTTTTTGGGAGCTCGTAACTCATCACAGTTTTTGCAAATCTGTTCCTTCTCGCAAGTTGTAATTAATTTTTTTTATTATTCATTATAATTTCCACTTTTCCTGATAACAGTAAAATCGGCAGCAATATATATATATAAAATTAATAATATTTTGTTTTGAGCGTGCGGGCGTTGGGCTCCGCCGCAGTACGAGGTTGTGAGGCCAGAAAGAGACATTCGCAGAGCAGGTTCGGTTTGTTTCTCCGCCGCAGAACTTGCGCATCGATGGGCAGACGGTGGGAATTGCCGAGTCCGCAGTAACCGCCGGAGAGGCTTTGGAAACACTCCGTGTGTGTGATTATGTGCTGCTGTGCCGCATTGCCGACTCCACTGCGCCTGTTCAGTCGAACCAGGCAGGGAAAGCGAAGCACTAGTTTGTTCTGCATCTCGTTTGGCATTTCGTTAGCATTGCTTTTAATTATAATGCGAACTCGATCACTACGTCAGAACAATCGCAGTACTTCTTTTGTTGTTTTTAGTCGAATGGATCGAGCGAACTAACTCCATTTGTTTATGGTCTTTGCAAGAACTATTTTGACGAGACTATACACGCGCAAAAATGTTTCAAACGATTACATATGTGTAAAATGTTCATCAAAGACTACATGTACCTATTTTTAGCCAAGCAATAGTCTCGTTTAGAATCTTTAAATAGGTTCTTTCGGCTTTTGATTGAAACTAGGTTTCATGTTATAAGATTTTCTGGTTGTGTAGCGTGTGTGCCTCAGTGTTTGATTTCGGTTGCATTTCGTACTATTGTCGCGAAAAAATAGTTTTTTTGTTTTTTTTCCGTCGATGAAAATTTTGATGTTAGCAAAGAACAGTTTATTTAAGGAATGTGAGATAAACTCTTTTTCCACCGATATGAACAATTAGTCAATAAATGTTGGGGGAGAAGTGCTCCTATCTCTGGCGACTTGCCCTGTCGTCCTCCTGGGCCAGAGCCCAACTCGACGAGCCAGGACAAGGCGGGCGAGCCGAACTCCTCCACAGCCGTAAGGGTGGTCCCGAGTTTGCGAGCTAGCGGGCGGAAGACTCCACAGCCGAAAGGAGTCGGACATGCAGGTTGGCTTCCAGAGGCAGGGCGATGGTCAGGGCATGGGAACCGACCTCTGGCAGCTGCTTCTATCGGGTTTAGCAGCATTCTGAAACCAATCTAGGTCACCCATCCCAGAGGGTTTTCTTCACCAATAACGAAACTCGGAGCCTAAAGCAAACGTGAGCATGTCAAAACAAAACACATTTCGACCCCAGTCCACAAGAGCAGCTAAAAACAATGCAAAAAAGATTCGAAGCTACGTTGACAAGAACATGCACGTACGAGACAAGTCAGTGAGCATAAGAAGGTACGCAAGTACATAAACAACAAAACAAAATATATGTGGCACCAAAAGCAAACCCCACTCAACACGTGGAAGCCATTCCAAAATTCCCCAAACCTGGCTCTTTTCGGTTAACCGCTGCCGACGACCAGAGCTTCAGGTAGAACCGTCCGTGAACCAGGGGGCCGCGAACGTGTCAAAGAAAAACACGGACCGTGTCACTGGACATCCTGAGCGGGATTCTTCGGGAACCACTTCGAGGGAGAGACTTTATCCGCCTGGCGGCGGCGACCAGCGGCCCACCATGCTGGGGGACCCGGGGAGGGGCCCCGTAACAAAGTAAAACTAAACCAACAAAACCGCGAATGCTTAACTTGGCGATACTGAGGGCTTTGCGCGGTATAAAAGTCCCGACCCCTCGTTAACTATATTTCAAAAGCAATACGGGCTGTTTGTCTGTTTGGCAGTTGCGCCGAATATCTGCCGTTTTTCTTCTACTGGTACCGAGTCTCTGGACTATGGAACATCGTTTTTTGTAAGCGAATAAATACGTCATAAAAAGAGCGTCAGCTCGGAAACAACGAAGTAAAAATTAGGGAAACAAAAAACGTCAATCGATTCCGAATTAACGAGCAAGTTACCGTCGCTTTTTCTTCTTTGATCGCGTAAGCGTTGACGAAGACCAGCAGCACGATACCACGAGAACGACACGAAGCACTCTCGCCAAAGGGAAATAGAAACTCGGTAGCTGCGCACCTAAGCCAAGCATCGATCATTTCGAGTCCAAGTCACCGAGCGAGCTGTGCACCTTCGAACAAGCACAGCTGACGATCTACCGCAGATGCGATCGAAGATCTGGAGCCGCCTTAGCGTCACGTGATGTCCGTGATTTCTGCATGCACTCCCAGGACGGCCCGAGACTGGGACTCCTGGGACGCGCAGTCACGTGACATGATGGCGGCTTGGCTGGATTGGCTGGCCTGGCTCGTAGCCTCCGGTGCGGTCCATCGTCAGGTGAAACGGCGTAGAGCGGTATGCGGAAGGGAAAGGGAGGGAGGGGGGCAAGTTGGGCGAACCGCACGCGACCCCCTAACGAGATGCCTCACTACCGTGTAGTACCGTGACCGACACGAAACCAAAAGAAAAGTAAAAAAATTAGTGGTCTCTTTTCTTTTTTTTTTTTTCCCCTCCCTAACGATTTGGCCGTTTAAAGCAGGAGCAGTTCGACGACTTGATTAGGGCGCGATCGGCGAACCGGGTCGGGGCGAGTCGAGGTGTGGATTTCGACGCTGTCAGTTCCCGACGCCCGGCGCTCTCGCGGAAGTCGAGCTGCCGTAATCAACGATACGCCCGCGGGAAGAAGTAACGAAACAAAGATAAAATGAAGGCAGATTGGGTGCCATTTGCGAACGTTGATGACTTTCCTCCCGCAATCGTCGTCCTCCACCTTTTTTTTCTTTTTTTTTTTTTTGTACAATTTGTTTTTGCGTTTTGTGTTGGTGAAAGCTTTCCCGCAATGCACGCTGTCGCTGACGACGTAATCGGTACTTTCTTTCTGCTCCGCGTCTCTACCGAAAGCTGAGAAAGCGGCTGGAGCAATAAAACTGAAAGCGATGGATGAAATCAATTAAGTGGGCGGCGGGGCGATCTAGTCGCGGTCACATTTCTCTTCATTAGGCTTAGCTGATCGCTAATCTAACGTGTTGTCCGCCGCTTTTTTTTTTGTGTGTGTGTGTTTTGATTTTAAGGGACGGCGGCACGTTGCTAGCCAACGACGCTGATGTGGGGTAGGGCAGTCATTTACTCGCGAGGATGGTTTGGCCGTCCGTGAACCCGCCATGATTGCTTGTGTTTCTTCGTGCGATGCCTCTTTGGCTCGCGTTACTTATGGGGGGCTTCGTTTGCAGCCACGAGACGCGGACGTCGTCATGGCTGCCTCCAGTGGACTCATGGAGCTCGTCGTGCACGGGCTTGCCTTACGGCTGGGAGGCTGCCGTGGACAAGAACGGACGAAGCTACTTCATCAAGTGAGTTCCCACGTGAGGAACATGCATGCTGTTCCTGTGGAGTGGAGCGTACGCACACATCAACCGGGTTTCTGCGCAGAAAAATTGGCACTTGCACGTAGAACTTTCACCGAATGTGCATTTGGGTGGTGGATTTTATCTCGCGAAATTTTAGAGCCTAGTTCCCTCCCTGCGAAAAATGAGAGCAACTTGCCATGTTCAGCCGAGGACGTGTTCGCAGATCACCGATTCAGCGATGACTGCTCTGGATGACCGACCGTAACTTGTGGCGCCATCTCCCGATAGGCGCAGCGAATAGACGATGGGCTCTTTCCGACCGATTTCCGAGCAACCGGCACATCTATTCAAAGACCCTCGGAATACTTATTTCCAAAATGTCGGTTTGGACGATGACCCCGGCTCACTGGAGTAGCTTTTTAAAGCGGTACACCGGCATACAGAGCGCGACAGAGATAGCCCCAATAGGGCCTCGCCAGTTTTTACCGATTTTCTCGCGTTCCTGGAATTTCTCGGTCATCGCTTTCGTTAAAACCTCTACGGCGTGCAAGTTGGTCTGCTCCTTGCGACCCTCGCGTGTTTGTTGAGCCCGCCAAAGCCCCCGACCTAGACCAAGAACGACACGAGCTTGGCTGCCTCGCATTCCCTGCCGTGCCCCGCAGGAGGCGCCTACACCTTATGTCTTAAATGCTCAGTGAGGGACGTCACCACGGACCCCAGCCGCGTGGGCCCCCATACCCACACGCGGGAGGCACCTGCTTTACTAGGTGTTTGGTGAGTGGCATCACCACGAACCCTGAGCCATGTGGGTTTACCAACCCACGCCTCGCTGTGCGTGGCTTAACCCGTGTCCAGGGAAAAGGGCATCCTGGTGGTTGAGCTGATCCCGGGGTACCTTTGGACCGTAAAAACGTTGTCTGCTGGGCGCGGTGGTAATTGGCATTGATATTAAAATAGATTTATTGAACGCTTCCAACTTTGCTATCGCTGTGCATGCGCGTAATCTCATCTCAACAGAAACCCTGCGTACCGCCGAATCTGTAGATATAGCCTACCCACCACCTTTTCGGAGAGTCAGCAAAACAGCTACATCGCCCCGCCACACAACCTTAACTAGGAAAAGAAAACGCGCGCCGTGTTAATATTTACAAGCTAGATTGTATTAATGAAGCTGTATTCTTTGGGTTGCATATACACCGATGCAACGCTAATGCAAAAGTCTTTGTCGCAAGCTTGTATTTTTGTCGCCTCCAGCAACTCTCTTTTTAACCTTCCTTTGTTGCGTCCCTCCCCCTGCGCATCGTCCAGCATGGGGGTAACAACCACAGCTTATACAATGCCCCGGCAAGTAAGAGCTGTAACTGTTGCCAAGAGAAGCCGCTCTGGAAGTCTATCATTTAAGTAACGTTCCGTCTGGCCTATGTAAACACGACCACTTCTGACCATTGCAAGCCAAAGGAATCAGCGGCCGATGAAGCCACGTTATGTGCCGCCAGCCATAACGAGAGCGAAATACTAGACCACTTGGTCTTGAAGTGCATGGGGCTACGCCCTGCCCTCCCTGAAACAGGTAACAGATTTGGCCGGGGCCCTGGGTTTTGCTGGCGACGATGGAAGGACGGAAGAGAAAAAGATTACAGTCACAAAGAGGCGATTAAAATATTGGTGGAAATTAGGAAAAATTCAATGATGCACAACTATCTAGCACAGCTGGGGACAAGCGGGACAGAGGAAAATTCGTACTCCCTCCCGCGTGGCTCAGGCCCAAAGTTTCAACCCTGTACCCCAGTGGGTCCGGTGCTGGGGTAACGCCGACAAGATTTGACGAAAGGAAAATTGGCGACTCCCTCGCCGAAGAAAAAAGTGAAAAAAGATGTTGTTGTTGTTTTTTTGTTTTTTTTCGATCCCCCAAAGGTCATTTTGGTGATATCCCACACTGCCTGATGATAGGGGAAGAAAATTGGCTTAGAAGAGCGAAAGGAATCATATGTTTGTCGTTTCAGACTAGGCTAGGTACCGCAAGCTACCGCCCGTTACAGTTACATCCATCGATCCGGTGCGAACTTTAGCGCCAAAAAGACGACATCATGCTACCTTCTTGTTGAGATAGATACAAAGAAACAAAGTGAATCACTTCAAGCCTTGAACTCAGTCTGAGATTACTAGGTTAGTGTGACCCTTCACTGAAAGGTAAACAATGCCCAAAGTGTCATCTTTGAAGCTGACTTGCTCGACCCAATAGATACAGAGCCGGCTGAGGGTCTCCCTGGTGAGGGAGTTGTTGCAGCACGACGCATCACCATCTGTCGTGATGGCGTAGAACACAAAACAAGGCACGTTATTTTTACCTTCGACTCCACGATTCTTCCAACTACTGTATAAAGGCAGGCTACTTTCAGTGCCGTGTCTGGCCTTATGTGCTAAGCCTCAGCGCTGCTCTAAATGCCAAAGGTTCGGCCGTGGGTCGCGGAGCTGTCGGGGTAGCGACATCTGCGACACACATCAGCATGTCGCTGATCTCTGTTAGAACGAAGCTTACTGCACCAACTGTAACGGTGAGCATCCAACATACTCCCATCCTGTCCCTTATGGAAAGAAAAAAAGAGATGTCGTGAAGGTTACTGAAAACTTTTCTTACATTGATGCAAAGAAGCGCTTCGCCTTTGTTTCCAAAGGCTCTTATGCCCAGGCAGTACGCAAGGGACTGACGCGGCCAATGGTTTCGACTTGGAACACAGACGTCTCCAAACGTTCTGCGTCTTCCGTCACGGTCTCCTGTGTCCTCGGGAGCGGGGCTTTCGGATCGCAAGGTAGATGCTGCTGACGAGGCAGCTCCGGGGTGGATGCTGCCTCGTCAGCATCCACGCTGGATGAGGGAATGACACCCGCTGCTACACCCGGCACTTCTACCCCTCGGGGCCGAGGTCAAGCCCATCGCACCTCTGCTCTTCGGAGGAAGCCCGGGGAACCGCCGAAGCAGTCGACCTCCAATGGTCACCTTCCGGCGGCAACAGACGAGCCCATGGACGAAATTGGGCTCATGTCCGATGAGGATGCTCCCCTCTCAGGATCGGAGTCCTCTTTTTCTTTCACCTGTGACCCCAATTGTAGACGGAAAGACGCTTCTAAAAAACGGAGCACTTTGCGTGTAAAGATAGATTTTAAACCTTAACAAATCTCTCTTTTAAGACATGTTTCGTAACATATATATATTTTACTTCTCTGAATGGCAAAGAACTAGAGTATTATGCAGCAGAATTGCCCCGGCCTTTTTCTAATATTGATGAGATCATCTTTTTTTTCCGATGCACTTCGACCTGTCGCTATATGCCTACATGAGACTCATCTCAAGGACATACAAACAGATGTCCTACGCCGTCATCAGGTTTTTAGAAAGGACCGTGCATCTCTTAGCCACTCGTCTGGTGGAGTAGTTGTGGTTGTACAGAGTGGTATTGCCTGTACTCCAGTTCCTCTCACAACCTCACTAGAAGCAGCGGCAGTTCGTGTTTTTCTTGACTGCCTTATTAAACTTGTTTCAGTTTACCTGTCATCAAATATTCCACTGCATTCGCACGACCTGCGTGGACTTGGGAGAATTTAAAGCCCACCACCCTATGTATGTGCTCGCCAGGATTCCCATGGTGGTGTCATTGAACGATTTTTATTGTCATCCTGCCTTTGCCTTTTAAATGGACAAGAACCTACATTTTTAGTGGACCTCGGAATACTTTTACTTCCATCGATTTTTCTCTTTCATCCCCAACTTTACTTCCCTAGCTGTTTATCTTGGAAGGTTTGAGATAATCCTTTTGGGAGTGACCATTCTCCTGTTATTTTAGAAAGTGCTGTAGCGCTACTTCACTTCCAAAACGCATCCCCAAGTGAAAATGAAGTCAGAGCTGACTGGGCTCTTTTTTGCATTGGAAGCAATGCTTGAGCCAACTGAGTTTTTACCTATGACCCCTGAAAGTGCGACTCTCTACGTTATTAACCGTATCATAAATTATGCATATGTCTCCAGTTCACAAACATCTGGAAATCTTCCCAAGCGCTGCAAGGCTTGGTGGACCAAAGACTGCACTGTTACGCTTAGATCCCAGAACAGGGCCTAGCGCTCTTTTTGTCGCTACCCAACGGTCTAGAGGAAGGTAGAGTTTAAAAAATATGTAAAACAATGGCTCGTTGGACAAGTAAACAAGCAAAGAAAAGATCGTGGATGAAATATGTTTCCGGGGTGAACAGTTTTGTCACTTTAAAGCAGGTGTGGGACCGAGTGAGGAAACTTTGGGGCAACTGAAGAGTTGCCTTCGCCAACTTTGAAGGCCTGGCAGATGTTTTTGCGGAACATTTTTGTGAAGTTTCTAGTTCATCTAATTAATCTGCAAAATTTAAAAAAGTTCAGAGCTGTTGCAGAAAAGCTGTCAATCGCTATGTGTGGATCAGATGCCCTTGTATACAACCAGTTTTTCACAATGTGCAAACTCGAGATGGCTCTTGGGTAAAAAAAAAACAGTCGGCACCTGCACCTGACAGAATCCACTATGAAATGTTGCGGCGGTTATCCCTTGAATCTCTAGGCCATTCGTTAACCTTTTTTTTAATATTTTGTGGGAAGCTTCTGCCTTTCCTCGGTGCTGGAACCGGTCACATATAATACCCCTGCGGAAATCCGGTAAAGACTATGCTCTGCCAGCGAGTTATCGTCCCATTGCAATGACCAGGTGCCTTGAGAAAACTTACGGAGAACTAATAGAGAGACGATTTGTACACGTTTCAGAGGCTGAGAGAATTTTAGATGCCAATCAGTGTGGGTTTAGAACGGGGCGATCAACATTGGATCATCTTGTTCACGTGGAAACTTTCATACATTAAGCACTTGTTCATCGACAGCGCTGTGTTTCAATATTTGTGACCTAGAGGAAGCTTATGATGTTGCGTGGCCGGTACGGGATTCCTAAGTACTTATACACATATGGTGTCCGTGGCCTCCTGTTACGCTG